AGGACTGAAGGCAAGACATCATGTCAAGTTAACTTCCCTCCTTCATTCGAATACGAGAAATCAAGTTCGTTGGCATTCTTTATCTTTCCAAGTGAATGAAGGTCCACCGCACCGCAGCAGACACCCAGATGTTGTGAGGAATGACACGCGGTCTTCTGTGGTATCTACCAACCAATGATTTCACTTTTTTGAGCTTTTACAGATAATGTTGAACTATGCACAGGTAACTTAAAGTTTGCCCAGCGGTGTTATTTTATTTACAGTTGTGGCTGTTGTCACGATTTCGTTATATCTTAAATCTCGAAACTTTAAGCAAAAGGCAACGAATCACGCCTCAAGAAGGGTACATAAGGTACATAAGATTTTTACACAAAATAGCAGTGATAATACTGTCGGAAGCGAAGCATTGTTTCTGGCAACATTATCGGCTAAAAACAATTAGATTTTGCACAAAAGAGAGGGCTGTGAAGTAAGGTGGTGAAGATGAGCAATTGCAAGACTTTTGTTACTTGTGAAATGTTATACCACACGTATGCAGTATACACATGGAAAAGGCGTAAAGTTCATTCAAACATAGCAAAAAAATTCTGTTTGCACTCTTACTATGACCCAACTTCTTAGTGACTAGAAGTGTCATAAGTGTAGTCTTCTTACCCTTTAATTCTTACCTTGTTGGAATCGGTTCGTCCCCCAAAGCTTCTTTGGGCTCTGATAACTTCGCAAGGGGATCGTCGAGATATTTTTCCTTCATGATACGAGCTTTGACAAACTCCTCAACACCTGGTCGATACTTCGCCTAAACACAGCAGTGATTGGTGGAGATTAGGAATTCCATCAGCGTTACCATTTTTTGGGAACACGGAACAACGTACTTTGAAGTAGCTTTGGTGCGTGTTTATATAATCTACAATTTCTGGTCCTGTCATGTGTGCTTCCTTTCCTACACCTGAAGTTATACCACGTAGATAAATGTTTTTATCAATAGTTTAGATCTAACAAAGTTTGCGCTTCTCGTATGTTATTTTCTCAGAAAAATTGTAAAATTTTGCTCTCTTTCAAAGAGTGCGTTACTGTTTTAATTCATGACGTGCAAGCAGAAAAACGTTTAAAATGCATCTTTCTTTTGTTGAGAGATTCTTGATTCCAAACTTCTTGGCTCAAAATTTTTCCTTCTTTCTCGACCTATTGCGCTCCAATAGGAGCTCCTTTGGGGTCAAATCAACAGAGATTCGAACCCTTACGTTCTCCTGAAGATGACTTCACGGAAGGGGGCAAATAAGCAGATTTGCAGTCATTGACTCGGTCACCTCAACTTGCAAAATTCCCTTTGAAACTCATGTTATTAATTAATAATTGATAATCAAATCAAATCTGTTATTGCTTGGTTTGTTGCAGCCATAGACCCTCAGGCAAAGCGATCAGTAATGACGGCCAAAGCTCAACGTTTGGGGGAACATTTATTCCGTAAATCCTGACCGTTTGGGAAAAATAGTTTATCCGTCGAGCCGTCTTTCTATGTGATCTCTTGCTTTTCCCTTTTCTACAAGAGCATACAAGCAGAAGAAGTTAAAAGCCGCATGTTGTTACCTATTAGATTTTGGATGAGTTTGTGTACAAAAACAATAATTGTGAACAAGCTTTTGATCTTAGGAATGTAAGTTCTACCACAAGTACGTAGAAGTAAACTTATCGAATTTTACTATTACGAAGGCTGGTCGCAAAAATAATTTTACTTCAAAGCATATACCTTTGAGCGCTTTCTGACGTGCAAGCGGAAACACATTAGAAAACGTGCCCTTCCCTTGTCGAGAAGTCCCTCTTTGGATCAACTTCGCGCACAAATTCTATTTCTATTTCCTAATCTATTACCACTCTTGTGCTCGGCGTTTTAAAAGTCTGTGAGTCAAAAAAAA